GGGCTCACGTTTTGTCTGCAGAAAGCAGGCACCCTCCTTCCCAGGTCTCAGGCGTCTCACTGCAGGGGAGGGGAGCGGTGAATCCGTGATTCGAGCTCAGGCAATCCCGAGCGTGACGTCGGTCTGTCCCTTTATAGCCATGAGACCCCGAATCAGTTATATAACTTCCCCACGTTTTGCAATCCTCCGCATTAAGATGGGGGTCCTGGGGGTACCCACCTCGCAGAATCGCACCGAGGATGAAGTGAGGTGATGTCTGTAAAGCACCCGGCCCAGGTCTGGCCCACGTGACGCGTGAGCGGAGGGCGCCCGGTGGAAGAGGGGACGTGGTGAAGGAAGCACACATGTGTCGCTTCCTCTGGAACTGGCGGAGCGAGCTGACATCTCGCTGCTTCGCCCCCGGGGTCCACACCCACCTCTTCCGGTGACCACCCCCAGCGTTCACTCTAGAAGACAGAGCACGGAGGGGATCAGAGGCCGTACTCCAGGCTGGGGTGACGAGGAGAAACTAAGAGCTTGTCTTTAGGGGGCGCCTCAGGCTTTGAATCCCGGCTCCCCGGCTTGCTGTGTGACCACGGGCAGCTCCCCACCCTCTCTGAGCCTCATTCCCCTCACCCGCAGCCTGAAGACGCTCAGACTGTCCCGCGAAGGCGAGCATTTGCTTCTCTTTCTAAGCTCACGTTCCCATCTCGGCCCAAAGCCCGAAGCCTCCTGCTTCTCCGCCAGCAGCTCAGGGGCTGGGAGAAGCCGCTGGCCTCCCTCCCCGCCCCGTCACGTGCCTCCTCGGGGAAGGGGAGGGGACGCGTCTCACTGGTGACAACGGGGACAGCGGGCGCGTCGCCCCCTTGGGCCAGGTGGGTGGGGAGGGCCCGACCTCTGCCAGCCCCGCGTGGGTCCAAGTGCAGAGGCCACAGGCTCCCAGCACCCACGGGCTGACCCATCGCGCAGGGCCACTGTCCCCACAGGAGGTGTCCGTTCGCCAGCTTCTCCAGCTGGGGAAGGTGGAGTAGGCGGGTCCCCCGGCCCTGTGGACGTGGGCATCCTTCACTCGGCAGGAGGAGCTGTCACGCGCGCCACGGGACCCCGTCACTGACAAAGCAGACACGATCCGCATGCCATCCCTCGTGGCTGTCGTCGGGGTCATTCCCTACCTGTGTGAGAAGATGCTTCTGGGACAAAGCAGGTCTCTCCAGCGAGACTCCGGGACCGCAAACCGTGGCGTGGGAAATGGACGGGTCTGGCTACCTTCTCCTCTGAGACTCTGCTCGAGGTAATAAATGGTAATAAATGGCTTCGGATGGGAGGGGCCACTTATAACAGCCAAGCTCCGAAGGGCCGGTGACCCGTCCAAGGCCCGAACAGGAGCCTGCCACAGAGCGGAAGAGGACCCCGGCCTCTGACCCCGGCCTCTGACCCCGGCCTCTGACCCCGGCCTCTGACCCCGGCCTCTGCTCTCTCCACTGGGAGGCCTGACCTTGGTGTCACCACTTCCGAGTGGCTATGCTGAGTGCCCGGATCGGGCCCTGGGAGCGGGAAGGGCTGAGCCACCCCACGCGCATGCGCCCTGCGGTCGCTCACAGCCTGACCAGGAAAAGCTGTGACTACGTCCCTCGCCCACGGTCCCATTGGGAACTCATGTCCAGTCACTCTCAGAAGTCCCGCGTTCGACCTCTGAGAAGGAGGTCGGCAGTGTTGCCGGGGGACCCCGGCTGTGACAGCGGTGTGACCCGCCCTGGCATGGCCCTGTCCTTCGACGGTGGATGTCATCATCATCGGTGGCAGCAGTTACGGCCGTGGCCTCCTTGATAGCGAGGGGCTGGCAGGTGAGGAGGGACGGCTGCTTCCCAGCTCACCTGCACCCGATTCCCGTCCTTCTGAGGGACCCATCTCCCCAGACGCTGACACCAGGGCTCTATCTGACCTTCCGACCTCCGGAGGCTCATTTTTCAAACTAGAGGTTCCCAGGAAGCCTTTCCTAACCCAAGTGGCCGTAAGGCAAAGAAGCAATTACCACTGATGTCTATGGGGAAATTTTGAGTGTGCCCAGACCCCAGAGCACGACCTACCGAAGCGCAGGGAAGGACAGGAACGGCCTGTCGCCGCTAGCACCCACAGGAGCGGAATATGAGGGCGGCCCTTTCCCCAGCCACAGACCCGAAAGCCGCTGCCTGCGCGCTGCAGGGGAAACGGCCTCGCTCACCGACCGCCGCGTCCCCGTGTCGCGCCTTTTCCTGGAAGCGCGTTTCCTAACAGCGACGCGGGGCTCTCGGAAAGCGAGGGCCAGGCCGCTCCCCGGGGAC